GACGATGCTTGCGCTCAGCAACCCCATTTTGTTGAGAAGCGTCAGGGCAAGATTTTTGAAAGTAGATGCCATTAGCAGAAAAAAATTGCTGCATATTATTATTAACAAACTCACCTCCCCCTTTGAAAATTTTTAATTTTCTGATTAAAAAGATTTTCAACCAAAGCTTTAAAATTTTTAAAGTGCATAAAAACCTCACTTTTATGACACGTGGGATAAATCCAAGTATAACGAGAAAAATCATCAATAAAACACACGTAATACTTGAATCCCAAATTTGAATACACGGGTGACTGCCACACATCAGAATGAATAATTTGAAGAGGAAAAACAGAATTATGACTAGCATCCGTAAAAGGCAAACGTTGTGATTTTCCTAATCGACAAGCCACACATTCATGAGTAAATGGAGTATGACTACATAAGAATTGTTTTCGCTTAAGAAGCTGTAAAATATTATCACCGCAGTGACCTAATCTACGGTGCCACACAGGGCCAGAAGCTAAAACAGAAGCAAGAACTAATGGTGATGAGGACGGCAGACAGATAGGATAAAGTGGTCCACTACTGGTAGCTCGCAGAAGCACTGCCCCCGTTGCTCTGTCCTTGATCAAAAAAGAATTTTTATCAAAAATTACAGTACAATTATTATCAGCACAGAGCCTTTTGATTGAAATTAAATTATATTTTAACTGATGCACATGATAAACAGATTTTAAAGTGAGAGGACGACCAGACGTAGGTAAAGCAACATCACCAATATTACATATGGGAAGATGGGCACCATTGGTAACACTAACAGAATTATGGCCGATGTAAGGAGATTTATTAACTAAAATACCTTCAGATGCAGTCATATGAGCAGAGGCCCCTGAATCAGGGAACCATAGAGCAGGAGTAGTGTCACCGGGAGTAGTCAACAGAGCAGGGTCGGACGGTTGTGTGAAACGAGAAGGACAATTTATTGCGGAATGACCTGCAGAAAAACAAATTTGACAGACAACAGGATGGGGAACAAACCCAAGAATACCCCCATCTTATGGCAAACCTGCAGAACTACGGTTAGTAACACAAACAGGTAAAGCATGAATATTTAAATGTGACATAGCAGAATTACAAATAACAGTACCCGTAGATGTCACACCCCTTGTAGGAGAACTCGGCTGCCCACCCCCTCCGGGGTAATGAACTGTCGGTCCGTGGGGGTACCAGTAGCCCTGCTGCTGTTGTCCTCGTCCGCGGCCTCGTCCACGATGTGTAGCGCAAATCAGCTTCTGTTGCCCGACCGGGTAAGGCTGCTGCCTGACCGGGTTTGTGGCTACCGAATGCGGGTTAGTCTATTGCTGACCTGAAGGCTGTCCGGAAGAAGAGATAGTCTCGCCAAATGCCTGATGAAAGGACAGGGACTCCTCGGAGCGGAGATAGAGTACCCGCTGCTCTAACTCAAGAAGATGATTACGGAGAGTCTCAAACGGAAAATTTTGTCCAAACAGAGACACAACAGTGAACAAAGATTCATACTCAGGTCTCAGTCCCATAATGGTAGTTTTTAAAATTTCACGGGGAGGCAGAGGGCAATTTATTGTGGCAAGATCATCAGCCAATGTTTTAATTTCTCTCAAATAATTATCCATGGACTGATCATGTTTCTTTTTAATTTGATTAAATAGGCGCTTTAATTCCATAGATCTGGCGAAACTGGCAGACATAAACCGTGACTCTAATCGCTCCCAAATTGCATAGGAATGTTTTAAATCACGCACATCGATAAGAACACCCCTAGATAGGGTTGCAAATAACCATGAACGGATTGTTTGATCAATTCTTAACCAAGTAGAAAATTCGGGATTGAGAGTTTGACGGTTAAGAGGATCTATGGAATAGGCAGGGGTACCTGAATTGAGCCATCAACCATGCCAAGTAGTGCTTGTGAGACCAGAAACGATTCAAACTGAGTCCTCCAAGTAGTGTAGTCCTCCACCGCTAGAAGTTTGGTGGTTACGATATTCGTGACATTTGTAGCCACATGTGATATGGTGAGGGCAAGCTCGGCCAAAGGAGAAGGTGCCGGGCTGGCAGCAGGTCCACGAAGAGGATGAAGCGTGGAGGAAATACCAGGTGAACCAACGAAGGTGGTATCGGCGAAGCCGGTGATGGAGACCGGTGGTGGCTCAAGCGGAACTGGTTGCACTGAAGTCGGGGCCGACCAAGGAAACGCCGGAGGAAAACTCCGGAAAAGAGAATATGGCATAGAGGCCCGACTTGGAGACGCAAAATTGGAGGTGAAGGTCACGCCGGAGGAGACGGAACTGATCGCCGGCAGCGTTCCAAAAGATAGTGGAGCGCCGGTCGAAGCGTTGGTGCTGGCGGCGACAGATGTCGGCTGGCTGACGGTTGCCGAAGACTGGGATGATGGAGCGGCCACAGTGAAGCGCAACGATCGACGTCGGAAAAACTGAAGGCTCGGCGGCAAGCAGGCGGCGGCGACTCTAGGTTTAGCACGCGGCGTCGGAAAAAAAATTGTAGAGAGAGAGAGGATCGGAAATTAATGTGCTCTTGATACCATGTGAGAATAATGGAAAGGTTACTCCCTAAGGAGTCCTGACAGATATATTTATAATAAAGAGAGTTTAATGTCAAGTACAATACTAAGTCTATACTAAGCCTCTAATAATTCTATTACGTCACGACCAAAGTTACTTTTATTTTAAAAAGTAAAAGTTGGTAATGTTTGGTAACATACGTAATAGAAAAGGTAAAAAGTATATTCTAGCTTTTAACTTTTAAATGTTTAATTTAAACAGAAGTTGTCACTTTTTTAGAGCAAAATCGGCTTATATTAATATACCAGCAAAACCACAAATATCATTCAGCCCAGCGAAAACAGACAAGATACAAAGATCAGAAATCATAGTTCGAACATACGACCTTGGACCACACTTAGAATCAGTCAACTCAAAAGAAGCCACCTTATTCGCTAATATCTACTTGGGAAATTGGAAGCCAATTATGATCGCTCTAGATTCCCTATCACTTATCCTCTACTGACTCTAACCCAGAACAATAAATAAAACAAGAAACAAGTCATCATGGGCATCAAAACATACCCAACAAAACAACCACCTACTGTCCTCACCAAAGCAAAAAAACTAAAATAACAGCAAAAAAGTAATAAAAAGAGTAAATGCTAGGCGAGTCTAGTAACCTACACCCACCTCCTCCATGTTTTTTGCTCCATCAATCATTATTGCACCCACTTCACGTCCGTCCTGCTCATGGAAATCCATAACTCTTCTCCTCTTAGGTTCCCAAGACTGATTAGCAACTTTAATCAGCTCTGAGCTCTTAGGAACTTCACCTTGCACCAGAACCATTGCTAAATCTTCTTCGTGAGAGCTCCCCATCAAATCGTCCACATACTTCTCCCTTCTCACCTTGTGTGCCTAGCCGAATCAACCATTTATTTCTTCTTGTTCCCGTACCTCTCACACCCGTAACTCGCAGCCATGGACCGTAAGGTTTCATCAAGTCCCCCACCCCAGCTCCCTTACTATACCCCTATGGGAAAAAACGACCAGCATGCCCAATATGACCTCACACAAAGCAAAAATTTGGAAGTTTCTCATATCTCAAGTCTACCCAAAAACAATTCCTTTCATTATTACATACTTTTGATTTCCTGTGCAGAGGCTTATTTATATCCAAACAATCTTTCAACCTCATATATGGCCTCGAGGTCTCCTCAAAACGTTTTTTCCTTAGCTTCTATTAATTTACGCATTGAATTCCCAATTATTTTTGCATTTTTCATATTAAAGGATCTCATAGGTAAGTTAAATACTTGAATCGAGAAATTAGCCGTATTAAGCGGAACTGACATAGGCAATTCACCATTCTGTAAAAAGCATGCATGACTAACAAATTTTGCTCAAAAAGCCACAAACCATTCCCAAAAACATGTTTCCTATCAACCTCATGAAAAAAGTAAACATATACCTTTTCTTTTTTACCTCTTTAATCGAAACTCCCTTAGCTGGCCTCCATATTGATGCCCTCAAGTCTCTGAAATAGGAAAATTTGATAGATTTTTCAGTAATCTATCGGCCGACAACCGCAAACCCTATCCCTTGTTTGACTGCTTCATCTGAATCCTCTTCAAGATCGATAACAATCCCCTCGTTCTCCTTTTCTAAGACCAAACCTTGCCATGTTTGCATCAAGTCTTCCATGACCGACACCTTCCCACTGGACTCACCACCACCGACTGCATCCTACTGCAGTGCCCAAGAAACAATGCCCACCCCAACCTTGGCGCACGCACAAAATCAATGATCACTCTATCGGTAACACATGAAGGCAATAATCTTTTTTGAATTTCTCAAAAGTAACCAACCCAACGCACCGCACGCTTGAAACGACGGAAACAAACCTAACTCTACATTTCATAGAGAGAACTTCTTGAAATATGTGAATTTAGCGTAACTTGTCAATTGAAAACACTCATTTCAAAATTTTAAATTAAAAGTTCAAAATCATTTTTTTTTTAATTTTGCACACATACCGAGAGTATATAACCTTTATCATTTAAATCTGCGTTCAAGGTAATATTCGAGAAAATATAAAAACGACGCCCCTTTATAGAACCTCGTGCCCAAAGCACGAAAGTACTCCGTAATTACGCAGAAGAATTTGCCAAGATATGAAAAGTAATTTTTGCTTTTGTTTTTTAGTCGCATCTGAACGGTCAAGTTAGTGAAGGCACAGCGGCACAGGGATTAGTGAATGTAAAGAGGAAAAAGAGGAAGCTGAGATGGAGACTATATATTAAAACAATAAATTATTCTGCAAAAAGAAAAAAATAGAAATAAAAAAACAAAGAACCAGGGAAATGCTTTTATTAATAAGGAAAAGACATCATCCGTATGAAATTGAGTAGAGAGAGGAAATACGAGAAACATCTCAGAGAAATAAATAAAGTGAGGAAAGCTTTGAACCATAGAGAGAATAAGAGATAGAGATAGAAAAAGGCAAACTTTTATGAAGAACAAGAATAAGAGAGAGATAGAGAGCTTTTAGAGAGAGAAAGTAGTGTGTGTATGTGTCTGAAGGGTGTAGCAGCAAAGGGGGCAGTTTAAAGTGGAATTGCAGCATTTGGTCTCTGGAATCCTCAACATCCCATCCTTTTCCAAAGCTCCGCTTGTCTCCTCCGTCTCTTTCTCTTTCCGCCGTTTCTCCGGCGACCATTTCCCGCCGGGAATTTCATCCGGCTCCGCCAGGAGTAGTCTTTAATAGTAAACCAGCTTGGGGGCCTCTTTAGCCGTCTTTCCTTATTGGGAACTTAGGGAAACGTATCTATGTTTTCCTGAATCAAGATTGCTGCTTTCTGGGCAAGGTTTAGAGATACCGGAGCTCCGATTTAGTGGCGGCGGAGATGAATCTCCGGTAAGGGCTATCTTAGTGTTCGTTTTCAGCTCGGAGAGTGACTTTTTTGGCTATCATGAAGACCACGCCAGCGGCGGCTAACCCCAATCCATCTGAAGGTCAGTTCTTCCTTCCATCTCTGTTCCAGATCAATGCAGTTTGAGAATCTTTGATAAAAAAGTTTATTTTTTCACTCTGGGGTTTCTTCCTCTTATTTTCTTTACAGTTAATGGATAGATTGAAACGATTGGACCTTTATAAATGCTACATATGCCTATATCTGAACGACTGAACTTTCCTTTTCATCTCGTGATGGGTCAAAATTGGAATTTATTTTCTTGATTTCTGACTAACGAATCAAAGCTCATTTATTGATATTACTCCGTATTTCTTTTCTTAATTCTTATTATAAACAATTATCAGCTGAGAAGAAGAGCATAAACCCAGAGCTATGGCAGGCGTGCGCCGGACCTCTGGTGAATTTGCCGGTGGCTGGGACCCACGTCGTCTACTTCCCCCAGGGCCACAGCGAACAGGTTCAAATTGCTAACTTGGGCCGTTATGGTGCAAACTACTTCCCTTTTACCTTGTGTCAGTTTATTGCTTGCTGGGTGCATGTGGTACCTAGTCACTCGCACGCTTGTCTTCAATTATTGTTTCTTTTCAATTTATTTTTACTGCTGCTATTGGTGCCCTCTTTAATGGGGGATGCTATAGTAAATTTTTATTAGATCAAATCTTCACCATCTTGCACCTATGGCATTTATGCCAAATAAATTGTTCCTTTTTGTCATCACTTGAATGAGTATATGAACATATAATATTAACTCATATTTTGCTTGTGAAAGCTAAAAGTGTGGGATCAAGAAATGGACAGAGTGTTTAGCAAAGCTGTTGCTAGGTGTGTGTGGTATAAAAGTGGGTAGTTGGGGGGTCTCAAAGCTGTAGGAGAGAAAAGATAGAGGGCAATTATTGATCATTGCCTGGCATACCTAGTGGGTTTGGCCTCATGTGTCTAGATGAATTCAAGATTTGATTTTGTGGGCCCAGTAGGTTTCCATTTTGTCTACCACTTCTTCTCTGTACTAGGTTTATTAATAGAGCCTATCCCCATCCACTAAAAAGTAAGAACTCATATACAGTATAAGAAGTTGTGTTACGTGTAGGATGGACTTTGGGTAAAACTGAAATCTTAATATGGTACTCGTATAAGACTCAATTAAATTCAAATGATCAACTCAATTCGACTAAGATTAAAAAAGAGCTCACGGATTTCAAGATTATTCTCTAACCAGCCACCATCTTGCAATGATCTAATCTAAATACACCCCACAACCATTCCATGTATGAATGGTGAATCACTATATGTACAATTTTTTTTCATTATTCTGCAGTGTATCTAAAAATGAATCACAACCAGTCCACTATATCTTGTTTGGTTTTTGAATTCTCGATTGCACATTTTTTATATTCAGGTTGCAGCATCAATGAAGAAAGATGTGGATGCTCAAATTCCAAACTACCCAAACCTCCCCTCAAAATTAATATGTTACCTCCATAATGTCACCCTGCATGTATGTTTTTAACCTTTTATTTCACTATATAAACAGGTTTAAGTAAAAATGAAACAACTGATTTCTTGAATCTCTTATATCCTAGGCTGATCCAGAAACCGATGAAGTATATGCACAGATGACACTCCAGCCAGTTCCTTCGGTATTTGGATTTGCTCTTGACTTCATCATTGTTATATGTAATTCGTTTGAAATGGAATATGCTCAAGCTGTATTTCACATGCAGATTGACAAGGAAGCATTACTGAGATCAGATTTATCAACGAAGGTGAACAAGCCTCAGACGGATTTCTTCTGTAAGAACTTGACTGCTAGTGATACAAGTACTCATGGAGGTTTCTCAGTACCTCGTCGTGCAGCAGAGAAGATTTTCCCGCCTCTGGTAAGACTTTTTAGCCAATACACACTTGTGTCTGTGTCACTATGTGTTTGAAGATATATTTCATATTAATATGTTCAACAGGATTACTCGATGCAACCACCTGCTCAAGAACTAGTTGCTAGAGATTTGCATGACAACATCTGGAGTTTTCGCCATATATATCGTGGTAGGTTAAGTCACTATTTAACTTCTGAAGTGATTAGTTTTAACTTCAAGGGGATGAACAACATTTTAAAGCCCATTTGTAATGCAACTTTTTGTTTATGTTTTCCTCAGTACTTAAGTTTTTTACCTACTGTATTTCTGCCAATCTCATAATGCAGGACAACCAAAACGACACTTGCTGACAACAGGGTGGAGCCTTTTTGTCAGTGGCAAGAGGCTTTTTGCTGGTGATTCCGTCTTGTTTATTAGGTAAGACATTTTATGTACTAGATACTTTTTTTAATTGACCTCCTTTTTCACTTATACTTGAATTTGAGTTTAATTATGTGCAAATCAAGGGATGAGAAGCAGCAGCTTTTGCTAGGAATAAGACGAGCAAATAGGCAACCCACAAATATGTCATCATCAGTATTGTCAAGTGACAGCATGCATATAGGGATCCTAGCTGCTGCCGCCCATGCAGCTGCAAACAACAGTCCGTTTACTGTGTTTTATAATCCAAGGTAATTGTAACTTTGCAAACTTTAATACAGTGATCATATCACGGTCTGAACATTAGATTATCATTTTCTGCATTCTGAGATTGTGATTTTCTATCTGCCATAAATTGATAGGGCTAGTCCTTCAGAGTTTGTTATCCCTTTGGCAAAGTATTACAAAGCGGTTTATGGGAATCAAGTCTCACTTGGCATGCGGTTCCGCATGATGTTCGAGACAGAGGAATCAGGAACAAGGAGGTAGGATAGGGAAGCCCACAATTGCTTTAAAAAACAATAATACTTCCTTTTTTCCTATTGTCAGTTTCATACTTTGTACATCATTGATCATTTATTTGTAAAATCTAGAAGACCTATTGTTTTAAAGAATATAATTACAAGAAATTGTTAAAAAGTATTTTCAGTTCATAGTTTATATAATTTTTGAATAATTAATGAAGTTAACAATTTTTTACTACAAAAGTCAAACTAGGAACTTTAAACAGGGATGGAGATTAATAGAGTAATCATCTATCGCACTACAGGTATATGGGCACCATTACTGGTATTACAGATTTGGATCCGGTGAGGTGGAAGGGTTCACAGTGGCGTAATTTACAGGTAGGAAGCTTTAAAATTGCATGCACCAAAGAAATTTAAAAAATATAAGCTTGTATTAAAGTTTTTTCTTGATTTATCTTATCTGAAAATATGTTATGATTTAGGTTGGTTGGGATGAGTCAACTGGCGGGGAGAGGCGAAGTCGAGTCTCCATTTGGGATATAGAGCCGGTTGTAGCGCCATTTTTCATTTGCCCTCCAACTCCTCAATTCTTTAGACCAAAGCGTCCACGGCAACCGGGAATGCCAGGTAGCTGATATATGTCTATAGCACATGAATAAATGGATGCGTGGCAAGTGTGTCATTTCACTTCATATATAAGATTTGCCTCACGACTCACGAGACATGGCTTATAGTGGCATGAGTTTCACTTATCTCAACCAATGAACATTTTAAAGAATACTTGCCACAAAACATATACATCTGATTGATGGCTGGTAGCGTGACAAGTTAACTACTACTGCCTCACAATAAAGTGTTTTTGTACACTTATATGGTGGAAACTGAAGTGTTCTTTTCTAAACAGAAAAAATGAAACATTTGTGACTAGTTTTTGTTTTCAATTGAAAAACAGAAATAGAACCTTGAAATTGTTGGAAACAAGAGCTTGATGTTTTCATTATTTGTTGACTTGCTTACAAACATTTATAGTTTTATAAAAAAATATAGAATTTTTTAATAAATTATACTCCCTCTGTCCGAAAAATGTTTGCCAGTTTTCCTTATTTAGCCGTCCCTAAAAAGGGTTGTCATTTTGTTTTAAAGTAATAAATTTGTGGTTCATACCTTTTCTCTCTCCTCTACAAAGTTTAAACCACACAATTTTTATTTTATGATTTACGTGCAAGTTCAAATTAGCCAACCTTTATGGGATGGAGGGGGTAGGACAATGTACTAGACGTACTTCATATCAAGATTGAGGAGCCAAGTACGATTGACATAATATTGTTGCAGATGATGACGAACTGGATGGGTTTTTCAAGAGGACAATGCCATGGGCTGGCTGTGATGACTTTGGCATGAAAGAGCCCCAAGGTCTTCCTGGTCTGAGCCTAGCACAGTGGATGAACATGCAGTCAAGCAACAACCCATCACTGGCCACCACAATGCATCAATCAAACAACTACATGCCTTCCTCCTTATCTGCATCAGTTCTTCAGAACCTTTCTGGTGGAGGCGACATCACACGGCAATTAGGCCTGCCACAAATTCCTCAGCAGAACAATTTGCAATTCAACCCCCAGCCACCCGCCACTATGAACCCATTACTCTCATCTATTGTACAGCCACATCAGCAACAATTGCCTGATCCTTGTCAGCAGCAGCCAAGACAAAGTTTGATTAACCAAACAAACCAAGTTCAAGCGCAGATTCTGCAAGCCCAAAATCTGGTGCAGTCACAAACTGTTCATCAGCAACAACAAACCATGCAAAGCCAACTCCACCATAGGAATCTGTCCCCACAGCCACATCAGCAGCAGCAGATGCTGAGTCAGAGTCAGCAGCAGATGTTGAATCAGAGTCAGCAGCAGAGCTTTGGGGCATCATCCCATCCAACCAATCCGATGATCACCCAACAGCTCCATTTGCCCGATAATAACCAACAATTACAGTTCCAACTCTTGCAGAAAATCCAGCAGCAACAACAATTGCAACAACAGCCTTCTCATCAGCTCAACCAGCTACAGGATGTGATTCAATCGCTTCCACAATCCCATGTGACAATAAACAACAACCAGACAAATCTTATGTTTTCTCAACAACCTCAGCTACCAAAGCATCAGCAGCCTATGTTGGCTGAATTGCCTGGACCTGTTGGACAGACAAATCAACTTTCTGTAACAGGTGGCCAGTCAATCATTACTGATGATGTTCCGTCATGTTCAACCTCTCCATCTACAAATAATTGTCCAAACAGGGCTCAGAATGGTATTACACAGTCTTCCACCATTATTTTGAGTTCCAGTGGTGGTCTGGAAACCGCTATGTCCGGTAATAGCAACTTAGTTAAAGAAATGCAGCGGCAGAAGAGCGAAAATAGGAATAGTAGTAATAATAATAATCATAATAGTAATAATAGTAATAACAATAATCACCCATTGATGACGATGTCAAAGAGTCTGCAGAATCAAGGGTTCTTGACACCTCAGGCTTCGTACCATAATAATAATGGTTCAGCAGGACATATGGATTACTTAGACAGCTCGTCTTCAGCAACTTCTATATGCGTCTCACAAAACAATGCCCCATTGCAACACTGCCCAAATCCAACGATGTCTTTTGGGTCTCAGCCAATGTTCTTTAGGGATTTAAGTCAAGATGGAGGAGAAGCTGGTGGTGAGCAAAGGTCTCCTTTCACCACTAACATTGATGATGGCCAGTTGGAAATGCCGATGATGACTTCCCACGATCCTCCTTTGATACCAAAGAGTTTGGTTGGAGGTTCATTGAAGGATTTCTCATCAGGTGGAGGAGGATATGAAAACCACCACCCCAAGGGAGCTCAGCCTACTGAACTATCATCTTCCATGGTTTCTCAGTCTTTTGGAGTTGCAGATATGGGGGGTTTTGCTTCTTTAGATTCTGCCATCGATGATGGTAGTTTCATGAATGGAGGAGGCAACTGGGCTCAACAACCACCAATGCCTCGTTTGCGAACTTATACCAAGGTTTGATTATTTCCGTTCTTCAAGTCTTTGTTTGTTTGTAGAAATTTGGGAGGAAAGAAAAAGAAGAGAAATTGTACTTTGTTTGTGGTACACAAAGAAATGGGAAGGACACAAAAAGTTGAAAATGTTGGGAGTTTTTTTTTTAAAATAACATACATTTCTCACATTTAGTAATGCACGTTAGGGGTACGTCTAGGTTTGATTCTTGGCAATGCTTAGCAAGAGATCTCTATGAGGTGAATACTGCTCATTATATCTACCATATTGTGATTCTAGCTCACATTTTCCCTCCTAGCCAACTATCTGGCTGGTTTTGGGCCCTTGGATGGAGTGCATCATATTTAGGCATGATAGGGGTAGTTTTTTGTCTTTTTAAAAATAAGACACTTTTTTCCTTTCTATTTCAATCTTCTCAATCTCTTAAGTGATCCATTTCTCTCTTCTCTATTTTTTCCTTCCATAAACCAAACAAAGTATGTAGTCATAAACTTGAATACATATTGTTTTTGTAGATTCACATTTATGATTTGTTGGACAGGTTTACAAACGTGGGGCTGTTGGACGGTCAATTGATATTACGCGTTACGCAGGCTATGATGAACTGAAGCAAGATCTAGCTAGAAGGTTTGGTATTGAAGGGCAACTGGAGGATAGACAGAGAGTAGGTTGGAAACTTGTATATGTTGATCACGAGAACGATGTTCTTCTAGTTGGTGATGACCCTTGGGAGTAAGTTCTTATAAACTCCACTCTCCAAGTTTTTTGCTACTCTCAGTTCAACATTTATTTACTAAGGTTCCCATTCGGAAATCAGAAAGTGCTATGAACATATACCCATGGAGGAAAGTATATGTGGGGATATTCTGGACTGAAAAAATGTGAGGAGAAATATAACATTAGTTAGATTCTCTTGAATTAATTCTATGAAAAATGTTGGAAGAACACATCATATTTCATTTGCATTTTAAATTTTCAGGTAAAATTAAATATAAAAGAAAACCTGTCACATAAAATCAACTATAACTAAAATAATTAATATTTAAGTTTATTCCGAAGTCCTAACTAAGTGTAATTGTTACAATGGTGTGTTTAGGGAATTCGTGAGCTGTGTTCGCTGCATCAAAATACTTTCACCACAAGAAGTCCAACAAATGAGCTTGGATGGAGATTTTGGGAACAATAACAATGTCCTCCAAAATCAAGCATGTAGCAGTTCTGATGGTGGGAATGTATAATTGTATGTACAGTTTAGCTGCATGAAGGAATTCATTTGATTGTTAGAAGTTTGCTGCTATCAAAATATTCTGCAACGCCGTTTTTGGGTTCTTCAACCTTCATACTCATTCACAGGAAGGGGAAAAGAAAAGCAAAACAGATTGACTGTGTTGTATAGGAACATGGTTTTAGGAATTATGGTGAACTGATTGTTCTTCAATTAATCTGGAAATTTCCTTGTTGAATAGGAGCTGTGAGAAAAGTTGTCCTCTAGAGAGTTTTTTTTTTTAATGAATGTTTGTGCAATACAATGTAGTGTCTTCTGAATGTATAAAAGTGTAGATTTGTTGTGACATATATCCAAGCAAGTTTCTAAAGTGAAGAATTTGTCCGATGCTCAAACTCTAGCAAGTCTTTATCATAGATGATTAGATGAATTCATCAGCAATCCGTAATTTTTCGCTTGTCATTTCTCTTGGTTGGTACTAGGCATGGTCCTGGGTTGGTCTTGTCCTGCTTCCTGGCGAAGACCGTTCGGGCCTTGTCAAAAATATGTGAAGAGTGGGCCTTTTCCGGTTATTTCCGGTTACAGGTACCAGTTTAGTGTTGGACTTGGGTCGGGCCAGCCGGCCCGTGGCTTGGCCCGGCCGGTCCGCTATTGTGCGGGACCGGGACTGGCCCGGTTCTCGGGTCCGGGTCGGGCCTAGACCCGGGGGTAGGGCGGGTCCGGGCTTGGGTCTCACATTTGGCGAACCGTCCCAGCCAGGTCGGGCCCGGGTCCGGGCCAAATTGATTTTTTTTCCAGTTTTGGGGTTCCACCCGGGTTGGGCTTAATGGTTAGGATGGGTTTGGAGGGGTTTGGGAGGGTGGGGGGGGTGGGGGTAGGAAAGCAAAAAAAAAAATACCTAAACCGCAGGCCCGGCCCGGACCCGGTGGCTACCCGGGCTGGTCCCGGATCCACCATTTTTGAACCGCCTGCCCGCCCGGGCCTAGGCCCGACCCGGACCCGGCCTGAACTTGGCCCGGACCCGAGTCCACCCCTAACCTGGTTGGTCCGGTCTTTGTTTCGCTATGTTTTTTGTTTTGCCCGTTTCCAAGTATGGGTGAACTCGGGCCGGGCTGGGCCCGGGCGGGCCACCAGTTCATAATAGTTGGGCCCGGGACCAGCCCGGGTAGCCACTGGGTCCGGTCCGGATCCGGGCCGTGCCGGGCCCCGGGCCACTTCCTATTTTTTTTCTAATTTTCTAATTAATCCCCTGATACCCCCCCCCCCCCCTTCACCCCCACCCCAAACCATCCCAAATGGCCCAAAACACCCAGCCCAACCCTGAAAAATAAAAAAAATTGAAAAAACAAAAAAAAGGCCCGGAACCGGGCCGGTTCATCATTTGGCGGACCCGAGCCCGCACCGTAAAACCACCAGGCCGGGCCTACCCGGACCGGTCCCTGGCCGGACCGGAACAGTACCGGTCCCGGGCCGGTTCCGGGTCAGGCAAATTTTCTTCAACAAGTAAGTTAGCCATACCAGTCAAATTTTGTGCATCATTGTATGAGAAATTACCAAAAGCTTGTTGGTTATTTGCAAACCTCGATATTTGAGTTTGCTTCTCCGTTCCGCCGCCTAATTTTACATACTCCACCGGGTGTTTGGACTTAAGGTGTCTTGTGGCGGATCCGTATCCGCCGGAAATCCCCAAGCTATAGTTTTTCTTGCACCAATTGCAAGTTGCGGTCCAATTCCCGGTGTTCGGGTCCTTCCACTTAGAAAAATTATTAGCCATTAGTTCAGATTTACTTTTTTTCGTACCTGTTTGGGATGAGGCAGGCTGGTCGGCGTCATGGCTGCCGCCACCCTCCTCCTCCTCGTCGTCGTGGCTCTCCGGAATTACTTCCTGCACATCGTCGTCCTCGTCCTCGAGCTCTTCTTCGTCAATGGTCCTCGGTTGGTCTTGAAAAAAGCGGGAATTATGTCGGTGCAATTCTTGTTCTAGTTGTTCGTCGGTCATCGCATCCCCATCCCTCCTTGCGTAACCCGTATCAAAATCATCTCGACTTTGAGATGAAGAGTCGATATGTGATTTACCTTTGCGGGATCTCTTCCTCGCAAGCTCTTTCGTTCGGTTGCGCTCGAGGTTACCCATATCAACCGAATATGTAGGACGATCCATCTAAAAAATGTAGCGATTAATAAAAAATTGTAAAAAAGTAATTAACTATTAATCTAACTATTAATTCGAGTTATAGCAAATTAGTATTTTAAAGTTTACTTTAATCAAATTAACTAGTGAATTAACTAGTTTTGTGTACAACCTATTTTTTTACTAACAATGAAATTAATACACTTTAACTTTAACTATAATTAGAATTACAACTATTTTTTTAAACTAGAGTCAAATGTAGCAATTAATAAAAAATTGTAATAAAGTAATTAACTATTAATCTAACTATTAATTCGAGTTATAGCAAATTAGTATTTTAAAGTTTACTTTAATCAAATTAACTAGTGAATTAACTAATTTTGTGTACAACCTATTTTTTTTACTAACAATGAAATTAATACACTTTAACTTTAACTATAATTAGAATTACAACTAGTTTTTTAAACTAGAGTCAAATGTAGTGTTGGGATATTGACCTAGAGGCCCAATACCCAGATCGGGAAGGCCCAAGATATCCGGTCCAAGCAACGGGCCCATCACTCTATGATGAAAAAGATCCTGTAACAAGACATACCGAACGGAGTTCGGCCCAAATAAAGGTTGGCCCAGTAAGAAGACATACCGAACGGGGCTCGGACTATATATCATACTTGGGCCAATTTGACAGCATCTTCAGTACAGCCCAACATCCCGTCCGAGCAACGGCCAACCAGCAAGTGACCAGGTGCAATTAATGCCAGACTATGACATCGACAAGTGGAAGCATGGATGACCAAGTCGGTGGAACAACGGCCAATCAGCAAGAGGCAGCCCATGCTCTCCATTAGTATAAATAGAAGGTTTCAAGTCATTGTAAGGGTTAGCATTTCAAGACTCAAGCTCTAGAATAGTATCATTTGCTCTTATTTCTTGTATTAAAGCATATTTTCCGACTTACCGATCGGGAAATTCCTTGTAATCAGATTGGTTAATTAATACAAGTGAGCTTTCGAGTTTTAGTTAGTTCAGATCTTATATTTTCTTATACGCTTTGATTCTGGGCCATTCCTGATATATCCAAAGTTCGTGTTGGGCTTTCGGATCTACGGGACTTACCCTCAACATTGGCGCCGTCTGTGGGAAAAAACTTGCAAAAAGTTTCACTTTCTAAACATCCAAAAAACCTCTATTTTTCAAAAAATGGTCAGAATCAGTTCCTATCATACAAACGACGGTTCACACCGTCACGGGAGTAGTCACACCCCGGGGAGTCAAAACCCCCAGGGACAATCCAGTCGAGGATCGTATCCTCGTTTTAATGGGGATTTTGTGATTCCCGAATCTCTGAGAAGAAATCCCCAGGCCATGCGTGACATGGCCCAATTCATGCAGCATATGGCGAACGAAGAGGAAGGAGGTTCCAGCTTTACAGGGGAAACTCCACGCGCGGAAACAACCACAGCGTCATCCCGTTCGCATACCCATCGGGATAATCGACGTAGCGCCCCACCAGCAGCGCATCCCAGTCCCAGTGACCGAACCCCGGTCGGGTCGCAAGCTAGAGGACCAACTCCCGTCGGTCATCATTTCCAGTATGCCGAGCGGGAAAATACTAGGGCCCCTCAGCGACATTGGGACCGGGACTGTACGGATATGAGGGTTCCACCACCGCCCCCTTTGACGGCCCAGGAAGAAGAGATGGCCGAGATGAGGAGGCAAATGAATGAAATGCGGGACCAGATGAACAGGGTACCTGTACAACCCGCACCAGTTCAGCTGGGAATTACTTCCCCGTTTACTAGGGAGCTCATGTACGCGGATATCCAAGGGGGTGCCAAGCCCCCGACCGGCCAAATTTACGATGGGGTGGGAGATCCCCACGTACATCTGAGGAGTTACCAAGGGGGACTTATGCTGCTAGGAGCACCCGAGGCCGCCATTTGCCGTTTGTTTTTCAGCACGCTCAGGGGGCCTGCCCAGGAATGGTTCGGGACACTACAGCCCGGGTCAATCAATAGCTTTGCCGAGTTATCAGCGTTATTCTTGGCTCAATTTGCTTCCAGTGCCAATCCCAAACGGCACTTAAGCTATTTGACCAGCGTGAAGCAAAACGCCAAGGAGACCCTCAACCAATTCCTGAAAAGGTGGAGGGATGAAACTTTAACAGTGGGAAACATGACGGATGATACCGCCATTACCCTGTTCACGAATGCTCTCCGAACGGGGGAGTTGTACAAAGAATTGAAGAAGAATCCGGGTACGGCGTACGCCGAGGTGTTAGATAGGGCTCGCAAGCATGCCGCCCTAGAAGAGGAGATAATGATCAGGGATAAGGTCATTACGCCTGCTGCCCCGATTAGACTGGCCGATCGGCTGGGTCCTAGCCCAGCGACCACTTTACCTCCCAAACAAGGGAGATTTACACCCCTGGTCCTATCAATAGCGACCATCTATCAGCACGAGAGGGACAATATTCCCATCCCGACTGATTCCTAGCCCAGCGACCACTTTACCTCCCAAACAAGGGAGATTTACACCCCTGGTCCTATCAATAGGGACAGTTCATGGGAACGGATGACAATGCTTTCTGTAAATATCACAACAGAAAGGGTCATGCCACCAATGCCTGCAGGGCCCTACAAACAGCAATTGAGGATCTGATCCGAAGGGGCCATCTGGGCAAATATGTGAACAAAGATCTGAATGCAATGGGCACGTTAAAACCGGACAGGAAACCTAATAGCTGGCACCGGGATGCTCAACGTGACGCCCAGCCTCAAAATGATGCGTATGTTCCTCCCAGGGATGAGCCAGAGGGCTCGGGAGGCCCTGGAAAGAAGCCTCGAATGGAGGTCAAGGTCATATTTGGGGGCAGGGAGACCGGAGATTCGAACGCCGAACGGAAAAGGTTCGAGCGAAGTCTTTATGTGGGATCCGTCTCCGCTCCCCCCAGAAGAAAGGAAGGACAGACCCGATCACGTTCGGGCCAGCTGATTTACCCAATTCTCCGAGCCCCCACAGGGATGAACTGGTGGTAAGCATGTGTATTGACAATGCTTTGATCCGCCGAGTACTGGTTGATACTGGGAGCAGTGTGAATGTATTGTATCTACAATCATTCGAGAAAATGGGTCTACAAAGGAGCCAACTGACCCACCTACGGACTCCACTGGCGAGTTTTACCGGTAACTGCATCGAGGCGGAAGGGACCATCCAATTAATGGTTGAAGTTGGGGATGAAACCCACAGAGCGTCACTCCGAATGACGTTCGTGGTGGTAGATATAAAGTGCGCCCACAATGCCATATTGGGCCGACCG